TTTTTTAATTTATTCTTTAAATATTTCGTTAATTATGTATATTATTTAATTCGATTATTTATTTGAATAAAAATAATAATATTTATTCGATTTTTCGTTTCACAATTTCTTTAATTAATTATCTTAATTGGTTAGGTAAAAAAATATTATTCAATTTAATTTATTCTTTTAATATTTCGTTAATCATGTGTTTTATTTATTTCACATTTAATTACTCTATTTCGATCATTTATTTCAATAATATTTATTCGATTTTTCCTTTTACAATTTCTTTAATTCATTATCTTAGTTCGTTAAGTAAGAAAAGTATTGTTTTTAAATTTATTCTTTAAATATTTCGTTATTTATGTATATTATTTATTTCGATTATTTATTTGAATAAAAATAATAATATTTATTCGATTTTTCGTTTCACAATTTCTTTAATTAATTATCTTAATTGGTTAGGTAAAAAAATATTATTCAATTTAATTTATTCTTTTAATATTTCGTTAATCATGTGTTTTATTTATTTGAAGCGTATATTTAAGTAGAAAAGAACAAAAATTAAAACTCAATTTAATTTATCTTTAAATATTTCTTTAATTTTCTTAATAAATTATTTCTTTTATTTTTCATTTTATTTCTTAACAACACACACACAACAAAAAAAAAAAAAATTATATATATTTGACGGACCCGGATTTGGGCCGGTTAGCCGGACCCGGACCAAATCCGGGTCCGGTCTGGTCCGTAACGGACCAAATGGTCTGCTACGGACCAAACCGGCGAGCTCGCCGGAAACTCCATTTCCGGCGAGCTCCGCCCCTTTTTTTCACTTTTTTTCAAGATTTTAACCTCAAATTCGATATTTTCTTACATTTTAACTATAGAAACATGAATTTAACCCATATTCATATCCTAAACATTCAAACTTTCACAAATTCAAAGTAGTTATTTATAGAAAACATGTCTAACCTTCAAGAAAATGACGGTCTCCGGGGAATCCGAGGTGGCTCTAGTCTTGGTCGAAGTTGGTGAGGTCCGGGCAGTCCGTAGGCGACGTCGACGGTCGGTAGCTGATTTTTCCCTTTTTTCTTTTCTTTTTTCTCTCTATTTTCTCTTCTCTTCTTTCCTCTAAATGAGGGTATTTTCGACCCTACACATTTTTTTTTCATTTTTTTTTTTTTTTTTTTTAACAAATAACTTGGTCAAAGGCTATTATGGAAAACATACCGGGTGAGGCAGCCATTGCCGACCATTTCCTCTAAAGATAATTGGCTTGGAGATGAAAAGGTTTGATTCTACTTTACAAAATAGATCACAGAATTGATTTTTTCCGAAGAAATTTGTGGGGATTAAAATCAGATTTTTATTAGGTTTTGATCGAAGTTGATGAAATTTGTAGTTGAAAAGTTGTGCAACCTATAAAATATGTGGTTGTAATGAATCGTTGACTTTGACTTAAATTAAAATCTAAATTTTAATTTATTTATTTTTCTACTACATTTTCCTCTTGACTTGTTATGTTAAGAAGATGAATCCATTATATCTTCTCCATCAAGACCCTTAATATTACGGGAAACATTAATCAAGGGGTCTGAAATAGTATTTAGAGCTAGCAACAATGTATTTGATCTTACTAATTACTCTAATTGATGAATTCTTTTGGGACAACCTAGACTAGAGGTTGAGCAAATCAATTTCAGGCAAATCTCAACTTTTTGCTGATTCCAAATACATTATTCACTCAGAGTTTGCTCAAGTTAACGTATAAAATTTAACAGTTATTCTATTTGTACAGAAAATATGTATAGATAGAATGACAGATGAATGCGATTTGAATTTCAAATCCATGGATAATTCAGAACGTAATTGGTCAAACAATTAAAAAACTAAATATTGAAGCAAAACCTACTATACTTGTAAATTTTCAATATTAACATAAAAAATAAAGTATTTATCTTGTGTTAATATAGTACTTTAGCTATGTAATCATAATCCTTGTTCATGTACCAATACTGTTTGTATATAATAAATGTGAGTGACTAACAAAAATTTATTTGTATAAATTTGTTTTACTCATTAATATTACAGTACTTCAAGTTACTATATATAGTCATGAATTATGTTATGGGACATGCATAAATTAAAGCTCAATTAACCACATAGTGTTAACAAGTTGAAAAGCCTTTGAAATGAAAAGCCAAGAACCCATAGATTTAGCAATATCACCAACATATAATGCTTAAAGTAGTAAAAGTGCAAAAATAAAGATTAAGATAAATGAATTTTGCTCTTAGACCCATAGTTCTATCAAGATCGTGATTTTGTATTCTACCAAGTGGATAATGCTCCAAGCACTATAAATCCATCATTCCAACAAAACCAAGATCAAATTACTCCCGAGGTCACAAAATGATATAGGTTGGTAGAAGTAGCCACCCTCAAAGACAAGCAAGGCAGATCACAGCACACCAATGCAAAGCCATTGACCCCCATAGGGCGTTCTACTACTACATCCAGGGAGCGCTCTACCACTACGTCCAGGGAGCGCTCTACCACAACCCCCAAAGGACGCTCTACCGCTATCCCTAGAAATCATTCTACCACTAAGCGAAATTCTCAACGGGAATGATATTCCTTGTCCAAACACTTAGCCATAAAACCTTTAATGAATTGACAAGGTTACATGGCCGCTGATACAGGTACAATCTTCAGACGGGAAGTTAAGGACTCATCACTCAGAACGTGGGTGTAGTGGGAATACCATCGTGGGACACGTGGCACCACAACCGCCCAGCGGTTACCTAGTGCCTGATATCTATAAATACCCCCGGATGTGACACAGGTAAGGGATTTTTTCTGGCTCCCATTCTCGTTTTAGCCATCTGAATTTCAAATATATTCTTTCCAAGTCTGAAAACTAATTCTCACGCCGGAGGTAAAACGGGGGAGAAAGCCCCGCCTTCATTTTTCAGGTCTTGCATACTTGACGGAGTGGTGGAAACACCAAACATTACCGGGCAAATAGAAGGGTGTTGAATCACCGCCCTTTCATTGGCGCCGTCTATGGGAAAATTCATTTGAACTAAAATGCCATGTCAAGAAGACGAACAAGAAGTGATACTCGCCTGGTTGGGAACACGGCAGAGATGGAGTCGGAGTCAGTTGCAAGGGGTCATGAACCACCACCGCCCCGCAGTATGTGACGCAGAGTCAATTCAGCGCTTTGGAAAACCAGTTGGTAGCAATGATGGTGCTTTTACAAGACCAGTCGCAGAGAACCACCATCCTTCATTTAAGCCCGACGGAAGTGACGAATCAACAACCGCCTCAAGCGCCACTCGCGGTTGTCCCACCCACCTCTCAGCGGGGAGCGGGAGACGCGGGAGCCCCAATGACTGTAGCTCAACAGCCCCCGCAAACCACGGTAGACCTGGAACGAAAGATGGAAGAAATCATGTCACAGAAGATAGACGATGCGTTGTCCAAGAGAAAGGATAGGCGGAGATAGATGGTTTTGGAGGAAGACCCGTTCGCGCCAGAAATCATGACGGTCCCTTTGCCTAAAGGCTTCAAATAGCCCATGATTGAAGCCTATGATGGAGTCACGGACCCGCTTGACCATCTACGAACCTTCGTGGATCTGATGAGACTTTATGCCGCCCCGGACGCAGTGATGTGCCGATCCTTTCCCCCCACGCTCAGGAGGGAGGCTAGGGACTGGGTAGCAACCTTGGCCCCGCGCTCCATCAAGTCATTTGATGAGCTCTACAGGAGCTTTGTGGCTTATTTCCTAAGCAGCAAGAGGAAGAGGAAGACAGTCATTGGGTTGATACAGATCGTACAGGACAAAGACGAGTCATTGCAGGAGTACTTAGCCAGGTTCAGCCGGGCGACTCTTGGCATTAGAGACCTGCAAATGTCCATAGTGGTTACAGCCTTGATGAATGGAACGCGAAACCGGGCCTTTAAGATGTCACTCTCCAAGAAACCCCCAGAGTCTATACATGACCTATTAAAGAAGGGAGACAAGTATGTCGATGCGGAGGAAGCGGACAAGGTAACTAAAAATCTCAAGGATGGAAGGGAGACGGAGCTAATAAGCGAAAAACATATGACGAGCAAAGGCACAATGATAAAAATAAGCCGAAGAATGAACGCACGAGCAAGGGTTATATCCAAGACTGGTCAGTCAGGCAAAAACGAGAGGAGGTCAAGACACCCACCCCTTTGAACATCCCACGAACAAAGTTATTGATGGAGATACAGCACATGAAGGAGCTCGAATGGCCCAAACCAATGCTAACCCCTTCGGGCAAGAGAAATCAAAGTAAATACTTCCATTTTCATAGAGATCACGGGCATGATACCGAAGAATGCCTACAGTTAAAGGAAGAAATTGAGCGCCTGCTGAGACGGGGGCTATTGGCAAAGTATGTGAAAAACGATAAGGGCAGGCAAAGGGTAGAAGGTATACCCCTACTAAGAGCAGGAGTGATAAACATGATCATCGGAGGAGTAGCACCGGGCGGCGACTCAAATTCAGCTAGGAAGAGTTATGCGCATTCAGTAGGGGTCTGCTCTATACAGAAAAAAGAAAGATTCAACCAGAGTATAACTTTCGATAAAGAGGACTTGATTGGTGTAACTCACCCCCATGATGACGCCTTAGTAATAGTAGGAGATATTGCAGATTTTGACGTGAAGAGGGTGTTAGTCGATGGAGGGAGTGCGACAAATGTCCTCACCTGGGATGCCTTCTTGGGTCTAAAAATCCCCCAAGAAAGGTTGAAGGTGGTGACTACCCCCCTACAAGGCTTTGGAGGGGCAACAGTGATACCGGAAGGGACTGTAGAGCTTTCAGTCACGCTTGGGACATACCCAGCGACAGTGGTGATCGTGACTAATTTCTTGGTTGTCAAGACCCCCATGGCTTACAACGCTATCTACAACCGGCCATTTCTAAATGCAGCTGGCGTGGTCCCATCGACATACCATCAAATTATGAAGTTCCCAACCAGCAAGGGGATCGGAAGCATGCGAGGAGACCAGCATGCATCAAGAAAGTGCTATGTGGATAGTATACAAGCCAAAAGCCCACCATCAGTCATGATGCTGGATGTAGAACTCCCGAGGGAGCGGATCTAGCCGCTTGATATGATTGAAAAAATCTTTATTGCCGAAGGAAAGGAGTTTCTTGTTGGAACAGGTCTGGGATCCGAAGAGAAGGAAAAATTGGCGAAGTGTCTAGCTGGAAATTTGGATGTCTTCGCTTGGAACCCTAAGGATATCCCGGGGATTAGCCCAACTGTCGCGCAGCACCGCCTCGGTGTCCAGCCAGGGGCTAAGCCAGTGAAGCAGAAAAAGAGAAACCTTGCCCCTGAGAGGCAGGCTGCGGCCAGAGCAGAGGTGGAAAAATTGCTACAGGCGGGTTTTATCCGAGAGGTGCAATACCTCGAGTGGTTGGCAAATATTGTACTTGTGAAGAAGTCAAACGAAAAATGGCGCATGTGTGTAGACTATACTGGGTTGAACAAGGTATGCCGAAAAGACTCATACCCACTTCCCAGAATAGATCAACTGGTAGACGCAACGTCGGGTCATGAAAGGCTCAGCTTTCTAGATGCATTTTCGGGGTATCATCAAATTTCAATGGCCGAGGCCGATCAAGAGAAGACGTAATTTATCACGGACTTCGGCACGTACTGTTACACAGCCATGCCATTTGGCTTGAAAAACGTAGGAGCAACGTATCAGAGGATGGTGAACAAAGTCTTTCGTGGGCTAATCGGAGGTGTCGTAGAAGTCTATGTTGACGATATGGTGGTCAAGAGCGCCAGAGCCAATGACCATGTGGCCTGTTTGTAGAAAGTGTTTGACGTTGCCCGACAAAACAGATTAAGGTTCAATCCAGAGAAGTGTGTTTTTGGTACCGCAGGGGGAAAATTTCTAGGTTTCATGATCACGCAAAGGGGCATCGAAGTGAACCCAGACAAAATTCGGGCAATCCTAGAAATGAAAAGCCCCACCAGCAGGAAGGAGGTTCAGAGGCTGACGGGGTGGGTAGCGGCCTTAAATCGTTTTATGAGCCGGACGGCGGACAAATGCTACCACTTCTTCAAAGCTATAGGGGGCTCCTCCAATTTTGAGTGGACCCAGGAATGCGAAGAGTCTCTTAGGAACTTGAAGCAGTCATTACAAGAGCCCCCGATCTTGACCAGCCCATCTCCTGGGGACGTGTTGTGTCTCTACTTGGCAGTATCACCAAAGGCAGTCAGCGCGGTCCTGGTGAAAGAGTTCTCGAAGGCGCAAAAACTAGTCTACTATGTGAGCCAAGTATTGAGGGGTGCAGAAATAAGATACAGCCTGACTGAACAGCTGGTGTTTGCATTGATTGTCGCGGTCAGGAAATTGAGGCCTTACTTTCAGTCTCACACGGTACAAGTAATGACTGACCAACCTATCAAGCAAATTCTACATCGGTCCGAGACCTCTGGGAGGTTGTTGAAATGGGCCATCGAGTTAAGCGAGTTTGATATCGAATTCAGGCCAAGGACAGCTATTAAGGTACAGGCTTTAGCAGACTTCATCGTTGAACTCACCACCCCGCCCGAGCTCCCACCAGGGGAGCAGGCAGATTGGAAAATTTTTGTCGATGGATCTTCAAATGACGAAAGATCCTGGGCGGGGATCATAATGATAGGTCCGAATGAGGAAGAGTTGGAATACTCACTGCATTTTGAATTCCCTGCTACAAATAACGAGGCCGAGTACGAAGCAGTAATCACGGGTTTGGGATTGGCAGCCAGACTCGGGGTAACCTCAGTGGAAATTTGCAGCGACTCTCAGTTGATAATCGGGCAAGTGACGGGGGAATTCGAAGCAAAGGACGGAAAGATGGCTGCATATTTAATGGAGGTCAAAAACTTGCAGAAGGGGTTCACTAAGTTTAAGATAACTAAGGTCCCTCGAAAGGACAATGAGCGAGCGGATGCGCTGGCTAAGCTCGCATCAGCCAACCCTAGACGACTGCGTCGCACAGCCAGTGTGCAAATTCTGCGACAACCTAGCATCCAACACGTAATCGATGTTATGAATGTAGAGAATGAGGAAAGTTGGATAGACCCGCTATTTGAGTATCTCACAAAGAATAAATTGCCAGAGGATGCTCTCACAGCCAGAAGGCTAAAAGTTCGGGCAGCCTCATTTGCCATCATCGATGGGCAACTCTACAAGCGAGGCTTCACAATGCCATATTTGAAGTGTTTGCGACCGATAGAAGCACAGGAGGTGCTAGTCGAAGTACATGCGGGAATTTATGGCAACCACCAAGGGGCGACTACCCTTGCGTTCAAAACGCTTCGACAAGGATATTATTGGCCCAGTATTAAGGAAGATGCTAGAGAGTTGGTGAGAAAATGCGATGCATGCCAACGCCATGGAAATCTGATCCACATTCCAGCCGAGCAGCAGACGGCAATTTTCGGGGTGTGTCCCTTCTTCCAATGGGGGACAGACATCTTGGGACCTTTGCCCCTGTCAAAAGGACAAAGGAAGTTCTTGTTAGTTGCCGTCGACTACTTTACTAAGTGGGTGGAAGCTGAGCCCTTGGCCACCATCACGACTGCAAAGATACAGGGATTTGTCTGGAAAAATATCATATGCAGGTTTGGTATACCACGGGTAATCATTACAGATAATGGAAAACAATTCGATAATCACAGTTTTAGAGCCTTCTGCACAACCTACCACATCGACCACAGGCTGACTTCAGTTGCTCACCCGCAGGCAAATGGGCAGGCTGAAGTGACCAACCGAACCATACTGTGGGATTTGAAGGCAAGGTTAGAAAAAGAAAAAGGACTTTGGGCTGAGGAGTTGCCCAATGTACTATGGGCATATCACACTACCCCCGAGAGTCGACCGGGGAGGCCCCATTCAAACTGCCCTTTGGGATGGAAGCCGTGGTTCCGGTTGAGATCTTAAGCGAGACAGGAAGGATGAAAGTCAAGCAACCCGACGACGCAGCAACTAGGGGAGAACTCGACCTCCTCGAAGGGGTAAGGGACAAGGCGGCGATAAGAATGATGGCTTATAAACGAAGAGCCGCTGAGTACTTCAACCGGAGAGTGAAGCTAAGGGTCTTCCAGCCAGGAGATCTCATTCTAAGAGATGCAGTAGCGGCAGGACACCCCCCCACCAAAGCTTGGTCCAAACTGGGAAGGCCCGTACGAAGTAATTCTCAGGCTGGGAAAGGGAGCTTACGGCTTGAAAGATATAAAAGGAAGGTCGCTAGGTAGACCATGGAATGCAGAACACCTCAAAAAGTATTACCAGTAGAACTCAAAATGTACGCGCCGGCTGCGCTTTTGTAAATATAGTAGATTAGGTTGCATTGTTTATTTTCTCTATGTAATGCCTCACGAAGGCACCCTTAGTTGTAACAATTTATCTTATTCAATGAAAGACTTTGGCGGTGATGGATGATGAGGGCGCTACGGAAGGGCCAGCCTAGCTGGGACGTCCCGGTGCGCCTACTGAGCTCACAAGACCAGGAATTTTTTATGCTAACAGACAACTTTGAAATCCACGCCCATCCCACTAAGACATGCGGTCGACATAGCCTACGCGGCTAGGTGGAGAGCCTTGGAAAGTCAAAAAATTGGCTAAGACCCTTAACCACCAAATCACCCCCTGCGGTCAACATAGCATACGCGGCTAGGTGGAGAGCCTTGGAAAGTCAAAAAATTGGCTAAGGCCCTTAACCACCAAATCACCCCCTGCGGTCGACGTAGCCTACGCGGCTAGGTGGAGAGCCTTGGAAAGTCAAAAAAATTGGCTAAGGCCCTTAACCACCAAATCACCCCAAACGGTCGACATAGCCTACGCGGCTAGGTGGAGAGCACTGGAAAGTCAAAAAATTGGCTAAGACCCTTCACCACCAAATCACCCCCTGCGGTCAACGTAGCATACGTGGCTAGGTGGAGAGCCTTGGAAAGTCAAAAAATTGGCTAAGGCCCTTAACCACCAAATCGCCCCCTGCAGTCGACGTAGCCTATGCGGCTAGGTGGAGAGCCTTGGAAAGTCAAAAAAATTTGGCCAAGGCCCTTAACCACCAAATCACCCCCTGCGGTCGACATAGCCTACGCGGCTAGGTGGAGAGCTTTGAAAAGTCAAAAAATTGGCTAAGGCCCTTAACCACCAAATTGCCCCCTGCGGTCGATGTAGCCTGCGCGGCTAGGTGGAGAGCCTCGAAAAGTAAAAAAAAAAAATTTGGCTAAGGCCCTTAATCGCCAAATCGCCCCTTGCGGTCGATGTAGCCTACGCGACTAGGCAGAGAGCCGTAAAAAAAAAATTATATATATATAAACACTCCCCCCGCACCATCAAGCAGTAAAAAGAAAAATAACATGAGAGACGACATTTTAAAGGAACCACGCATCCAGTGCCAATAATATCGAATGAAAGACGTGTTTATACATTCGAAGAATTGTTGCCCACATCCCGAGCAAGTAGAAGATAACAAGGCTAAGCAAAAGTAAACACCAAAAAGGAAAAACTAGCAAAGAAAACAACAACTAAGAAATGCTTCAGCTCGAAGGAGAGACATCCCCACTACCACCTTGTGATGAACGACCGAGTGATCTGGACGACTGGGCTACACTCTCCTTCCCCTTGCGCTGTGCGAGAAATCTATCCAGGCCGGAGGGGTCTATAGAACGATGTTCGGCCATAATCAACTCCTTGGAGAGCTTAATTGATGCTGACATCGCCTTCCCCCTGTATGAGTTCAAAGCCTTAGCATAATCGGACGATGTCTTATACTGATCCACAGCCGCCTTGAGATCTCCAGCGTACTCATCTGAGGCCTTATACCTCTCAACCGCCTCTTCAGGAGCACGAGCCAAAACAGAACGTAGGTTGTCGATCTCCGTCTCTTGCTCACGAGCTCGAGCGTCCGACATCTCCAGAGATTTCCTCAAGGAGGATATTTTCTTCTTGTGGTGATGAGCCTCCTTTTTCTTTTCTTTAGTAAGAGTTTTTAGCTTTGAGACCAGGCGGCGATTCGACTCAGCGAGTCCGGTCTGGAGGGCCACCACCTAAAAAAATATATATATATATAAGGGGAAAAAGAGTGAAACCACGAGTTAAAATCTAACTTAAAAGGCGAGATCCAACATAAAAGAAATCTCGAAATGAGAAACATACCTTCTGAAGGTAAACAGCCGCAGCCCTTTCAATGTCATCTGCGCTGCGCCCTGCAATCGCTCTGGATCGAGCGGGGGTCACCAACGATTTAAGCACCCCCATCTCATGATAGCCCCGGGTGGGAGGAAACCCATAGTTAGGAAGCGAGTCATCGCGCTCACATCGCGCACGACTAGGAGCTCCCGGCCTAGGAGCTGGAACCACATCACGAGGCTCATCTAAAGGCTGAGAAGTCTCGTTGATCGTCTGAGACTTTCTCCCAAGGTCGGCCCCCCTCCTTCTCTTTGAAGGGATAGGCAAAGGATCCACCTCACCCTCCTGCCCCTGGTCAGGCATGGAATCCATGACTCCTTCCAGATCAAGCTCGGCCCCTGCACATGTAAGTTGAAATCGGTTAAGCTCACAAGGTAGAGTACAAAAAAAGAGGGGGGGAGAGAGGGTGGGGGTAAACATGAAAGCTTACCATCAACGAGGGTAAGGCCCTCATCTCCTCCTAGCAGAGTTCTCAATACCTCATCAAGATCAAATTCCATACCTGAAACAAACATCCAAGCTCATTAGTCTCGACGAGCTAAAGGCAAAAATAATAAATGAACTTGTGTGCATGCGATAAAAAAAAAAATAACATAAACGACCTACCGATTGGACGACTCATCCCCACTTTCAACATGTTCTTCATGGTTAGGACTGACCCTAAGTCAGGTGCAAAAGGCGGTACATCAACCAAGTCCTGGATTTGAGCTTCTAGAAAGGGAGTAACTTCTACTTAGCTATTGAAGAGACGAATTTGGGGGTGTCGCCAGTTTGTGTTAAAAGAAAACTGACCTTTTGAAGGCCGGACGAAGAAAAATCGGGACTTCCATCTGCTATTCAAATTCCTAAACTTAGGGAATTGCATAGGTACCCTAGTGGTAAAATAGACAAAGGCATTACATTGAACTAGCTCATGCATTTCGAAGACACACCTGAAAAGATCCATGGAAGGTGAAATTCCCTTTTTGAGACAGACATACAGAAAATATAACGCTTTTCTTCATGCATTAGGATTAATTTGACTAGGAGTAAGGTGGAACTCGTTGAAAATCGACACAAAAAAGGGATGAATGGGGAACCGAAAACCCCTGTCCATAACATCCTTGTACACGGCTATCTCACGGGGGTCGGACCTGGGGAGCCTTTCTTTAGGACCAGGGGCTCTATAGACCTAATCATCAACCCGGTCATACTTACCTAGACATTTTTCCAACTTAAGTGGCGAATTGTAGAGACTATAACTTTTTGGGATATCTAGGGGGACAACCTCACCGGCCGGGTCACGCCCGATTTCCAAATTTTGGCTTGGAGATTTAGAAGAACCAATGTGTCTCTTTGGGAGATTTGGAACAAACGGCTGAGAATCAATTGAATGAGTTTCACTATCAATATCATAAAGGGATCTGCCGGATGAAGGGGGCGAGTCACTACAAGGGCGGATCGAAGGATCGGATAAGCCACGGGACTTAATGGGTGGCGAGGAACGGCCAGCCCGAAGGTCGACCAGCCAAGGGGCTGGTCGACGGACCAGCCCCTTGGCTGGTTTGGCTGGTCGGCGATCGACCCCCCCGTGGGTCGGTCGGACTCCCTCCGACACCCTCGGACGAAGGTCCGGTCGAATCACTACACCCCCATCACTTTTTTCATTGGAAGGAGAAGAAAGAATAGTTTTATACATGACAACAAAGATGATGAAGAGAAGAAATTTAAAGCAAGACCTTGGATTTAAAAAGGAGAGGAAATTACCTTAGAAGAGAGGAAGCCTAGGATGTTGAAAGAAAATGAAAGTGATTTTCTAGAATGAGAATTACCCCCCTTTTATAACACTAGAATTCAAATTTTTTGGGGGGGAATTGGAGGGAAATCTCCCTCCAATATTAAAACCATTGGTGAGGATCCATGTGTATAGTAGAATTGCCACTCGATCGAGTTTATATAATTCGATTTGCTAATACGAACTATTCCTTTCTCTTTATAAAAAAAAAAATTCAAACCAACCTAAAATTGCTACCCCTTGCCGAAAACATCGACAAGGGGTAGAGGGGCTAATGATATAGGTTGGTAGAAGTAGCCACCCTCAAGGACAAGCAAGGCAGATCACAGTACACTGATGCAAGGCCATCGACCCCCATAGGGCGTTCTATCACTACACCCAGGGAGCGCTCTACCACTACGTCCAGGGAGCGCTCTACCACAACCCCCAAAGGGCGCTCTACCGCTATCCCTAGAAATCATTCTACCACTAAGCGAAATCCTCAACGGGAATGATATTCCTTGTCCAAACACTTAGCCATAAAACCTTTAATGAATTGACAAGGTTACTTGGCCGCTGATACAGGGACAATCTTCAGACGGGAAGTTAAGGACTCATCACTCAGAACGTGGGTATAGAGGGAATACCATCGTGGGACACGTGGCACCACAACCGCCCAGCGATTACCTAGTGCCTGATATCTATAAATACCCCCGGATGTGACACAAGTAAGGGATTTTTTCTGGCTCCCATTCTCGTTTTAGCCATCTGAATTTTAAATATATTCTTTCCAAGTCTGAAAACTAATTCTCACGCCGGAGGTAAAACGGGGGAGAAAGCCCTGCCTTCATTTTTTAGGTCTTGCATACTTGACGGAGTGATGAAAACGCCAAACATTACCGGGCAAACAGAAGGGTGTTGAATCACCGCCCTTTTTGTACGGGGCCATATACCCCGGTCGATGAGCGAAGCTGAAGTCAACCAAATAATA